AGTCTAGATCACTCACAAGAAGTCCTTTTACAATATAACAGCTTCAAATAAAATAAAATAAAGGAATACAATAGGATCTCAAGAACTTGAAGCCATTAACAAAGAAATGACAACCTATGCTTGGGAATAAAATACATAATAAATAAATATGGAAGAAGCAAAAGAGAATACCGGAGATTACCTCAACCAAGCTTCTTACACCCCACATCGAGTCATCACCTTCCGATGACGCGTGACCCAATGATCAACTTTCAATCTCAACCAAGGAAAGTAAGTTTGGACAAGCCACACCAATGGAACATGAACTCCTTGATCACAAAACTCAAAGCCTTAAGTGAATCCCCTTAGCAACCTAGTTTGAGAGATATGCTCTCTTTTCTGCCACAACTCTATAGTCTAAACCCCAAAAAGAGATGAAAAATCATGAGAGACACCATGAGAGAGTAGAGATAACCACCATGAGATGGTAGAGAGAACTACCATGAGATGACAGAAGATGAGAGAAGAACCATGAAGTGAGAGAGAGTAGGGTGTGCCCTCCTTTGATTGCATAAAGGAGAGATAGAAGCTTTCCAACGAGAGAGAGAGAGAGAGAGAGATTTTCGTAGGGTGGGGCGTGCCCCACCTTACATGGATGAGAGAGAGAGAGAGAGAGAGAGAGAGAGAGAGAGAGAGATGGAAAGTTGTAGGTGTAAGAGATAAGGTGTAGAGATTTGAGTTGGAATAAACCCATTTTTATTGTGCTTGAACAAGATTAGGGTTTCTCAGGGTTTTCCTTGGCTTGCCACTCATGTGAGATTGAATATGCACAATTGATCTTGAGTGACTTGTGGGGTGAAAGATATGAGTCGTCCAATTTATAGATGAGCCATCAATATCCTATGGAATATGCTAGAGCCATTATCCTCTGCTATTTTCCAATCAGTTAATTCAAATAAGAAATTAACATATCATAATATTATCCTTTATTATTTATACAAAAGTCTTCTCATACATACCAAAATATCATTCAAATTTTTTCTCAAAGCTCTCAAGCTTACTAAAAACAACACAAACTTATCTCTCAAGCTTTAGAGTTTGATCTCCATAAAATAGAATGTTTCTCTAGGTGGGGCGTGCCACCTATTTGGGCACATAATGAGCCCTACCCAATATGCAATAGTGGGCCAAAAGACCTATTAGGGTTCTCATGCAATTTAAGTTATTTTTGTATTTTTAGAGATACACAATCATATTTTAATATTTAAATCAAGATATCTATTTTTATTAATCCAAATTTGATAAATAAAATATCTAGAGATTCTCTATTAAGAGTATCGACATTGACCTCTTTACTCTTATGATTATCATCATCATGTATCAAATTAGTATAGTTTTCTCGTAGGAAAAAAATCACATCGTCATGAACAGAAAGATTTAAAGAGACATCAACACCCAAAGAAAGATCATGATGAGCCTCCACTCTCTTATCATGATCACCCAACTCACGACCCATATGAGACTCGTACTCGCAAGAAGCTCTAGAGGTATTGCTAGAAAAGGAGTCTAGCATCTTATGGGTTACACGTGAGCCTTCTATCATGTTCAACAAGATGATGGATGTTGTAGTAGCAACAACGTCCCTAGCTAAAAGACCTGTGAAAGCATCATGTGGCTGAACGATCACTCCACCAGAATTGACCGCTGCGTGCACAACTTGAGGCTGCAATCCACCACTAGAAACCAACAAAACATTAGACGCTATTGTAGCGTCCATAGATAAACATGGCTGATACTTGTACATATTCTCTCAAATAAATTATACTAAAATGTTGATTTCCTAAAATCTTGTATTAGGGGATGATCTCTTATACTCTTCCTAAAATATCTACTCTTCCAGCACAAATTTTAGGAAAGGGTTGGATAAAAAAAATTCTCCTATTTATCAATAAGATATGGAAACAATATCTCTCTCTTCCTAAAATCTCTACTTTCTCTCCTTCTCTTATCAAAATCTCTATTCTACATGCACAAAATTTTAGTCTCTATCTCTTTCCCTAAACATGAGGTATATGTCCTACAACTTCTATAACGTTAAGATCCATTCTTATTTTCATGACAAGTGCCCACCTCTTAACTTTGCTTAATAATGTAATATAGATATACGTATATATTTATATAATATTTATATTATTACATTATAAATAATATGTTTATTATATTAAATCTATTATATATAATATATTTATTATATTATATATAATATATATTATTATATATAATATATATTATTATATATAATATATATTTATTATATTATATATAGTATATACACATCTTATATTAGATTAAAAATTTGATTTCCAAGAATCTCTTATTCTCTCTCTCTTGCACGTACTCTCTCCCCAAAATCTCTTTTAAAATCGCTCATTATCTCTCTCTCTGTTGTGCATATTCTCTTAAATAAATCCCTACTAAAATGTTAATTTCCTAAGATCTTGTATTAGAAGATTATATCTCATACTCTTCATAAAATAGATACTCTTCAGGCATAAAATATTAGAAAAGGGTAGAGATCCTATTTTCTCTACTCTTCACGCACAATTTTTAGGAAATGGTTGGATAAAAAAATTATCCTATTTCTCAATAAGATATGGACACAATATCTATCTCTTCCTAAAATCTCTATTTTCTTCCTTTTCTTAAAACATTATTATCTACATGCACAAACTTTTAGTCTCTCTCTTCTCTTAAACATGGGATATATGTCCTACAACCTCTATAATATTATGGTCACTTCTTATTTTTACGACACGCGTTCACTCTTTAACTCTTGCATTAGAGTCCATTCTTATTTTCGAGACATGTGTCTACCCCTTAACTCTTGCTTAATAATGTAGCATATAATGTAGTATA